TATTCTACTCTTCTTCAAAATGTCGAAAAAGATGACGTTAAATCGTGTTATTCTGATCGCGACGTAAATGTTTCTAATGGAATACGATTGTAGTTGAATCTGTTTCTCACGCTAGCTGCGAAATAAATATCCCCGACGATCAGGGTGAAAATAAATACGCCGTCACTGAACAGCAACAAATTAGTACACCACTCACAATATATACGTAAAACTTCCACACCGTGGATAGATATCTCTTTGCACACATAATCATGCACATTTCGTTTCTCAGCGCGCACAATACATTGTGTAATATCATATTATCGATAATATTATTATAACATCGCGCTAGTAACTCGCCCGCGAGCATTAACTGTATTTTTACTCTTCCTTTTGTATGTGTATATACAGGGTGCGGCATTTAGTGGATAAAGTATTTTTTCATTAATACTTTTTGGGTTATTTTATATTTTATTCTGACATATTTTGATATAAAAAATAAAATATCTTGTAAAATATTTAGTTTTCGATAATCTTACCGTAATATTTTTATGTACAGAATAATGAGACAAATCAATTAGTAAAAAAAAAATAATTGTTTTTAAGAAAAAGTATGTAATTATTTACAATGTATTTTTTAAAACAATTATTTGTTTTTTTCTTTACACTAGTTGATTAGTAGACCTAACCGTCCGCCAGCTTTTGTTCTTGCTGTCTGTGGATTTGCGAACCTTGGGCAGAGTCATCGCTCGTTTGTCAACCGACGATGACTCCACCACAGTTCCAATAGCTTTGCTGTTGTCCTTCATCGAAGACTTAACAAGGTTGCAGCGCTTACAGATGAACAAAGAATTGTTGTGCCTCCTCGAAGTCGCGGCGGAACCGCTGCTCACCGAGTTGCTCTTAGTGAGCATCTTGGACGCGTGCTTTGGTTTTGGACTGGGCGAATCCTTAGAGTCAAAACTGCTGCTCAGACGATCCGTAAAGTTTCTCAGCCGTGAAAATAAAGACTTGTGATTATTCGACCCAGTTCTGTCGTCGCAGCAACATCGCAGATTGATTGATTCTCGACTGCCGTGTGCATCCTTACGACTAGATCGGATTTCGTGAATATTCTCTATGACCGTGCCGGCCTTCTTGACGTTGTTCCTCGGTTGCGAGTAGGCCTCTGCCATGACGATATTACCGTTTTCCTCTGGCGCTCTGCCTTCAATTTTAGCGACTAGAAATGTTGTCGCCTCCTTCTCAATTTCCTCGAGAATACGCGTGCCTTCGGCGGGATCTCGCGCTGACCGGCAAACTGAGATCGCTACCGAGATTTTCGCATCTGCTGCTGCGTCTCCTCTCGCGCTCGTGTTTCCGAACGGCCTTGATCAGATCCTGATTATGATAATCTAACGAGGATTTCTCCCGGCTGCCCTTGCGGCTGCTGGGGCAACTCTTCCGGCCGGTAGTCGGGCCGACCAGTGTGCCTTCGGTGGAAATCTTGAACTTGAGCGTCTTCTCGCTGATCTCTACTTCCGTGGCGGTCTCCGGATCAGAGCTCTCGACATTTTCCATCTCCTCCATCGTCAAGTTCTCCGTAATATCGTTGTCGGTGGAGCGCGAGTGCGAGTGGATTGTCGTGGCGGATCGCTTTGAACGCATGCTGTGCGACGACGTGGATTTGATAATGGCGGACGAGCTGCCAACGCCGCTCGGCGCATTGGATATACCTGATTCTCCGACATCTATGACACTTTTCCGATGATGACGTTCGTCTTTGGCAGCCTCGTTCAGTCTGCGATAGTACTCCAGAGCTTCCCTGACGGGTTGAACTATGAGATTCTGGAAAGCAAGGTTTCGTGTATATAAAGATCTGTTCATGCAAAAAACCGATATTAATTTTCGAAAGTTTTATGCAAGAATGGTTGCCGATCCATTTCATTGCAAGCACGAATAAATTAATCCACGTACAAAAGAGAACAGGAAATACCTGTAGCTCGGGAAGAAGTTCGCCGAGGGCTTCGAAGAGGGGGAGAAGAACTAGGCCGATGAAGCTAACCTGGGACGATGGTTTGGTCACCTTGTCGCGACCCATGAATGGCGTGACCGGAAGACCCTCGAGTTTCTCCGCGTTGCTCTGCTTGAAGAACTCTTGAAGTAACTTGTCCAGCCATGGTTCCGCGACTTCCATCGGGCGGGCCTTGTTACTTATGTCGGCCACTTTGATAAGGATCATGGATAGCTGCAAAATACGTAATTGTATTGATTATTTAATGTTTCATTCGATTAAATTAACAACTAACTTACTAACTCCATTAGTCGGCGTATTTACCAGATTTATATGTGCTCTGTTGGTATAATCGAATTCAGGAATGATATCGATGAACTGGCCGAGGATCTCGTTGTGCCGGGCCATGTCGGTCGCTAGGATGCATCGTATAATGCCCTCACGCACTATTCTATAGGTAAGATTGTCCAAGGACGCGAGGATGTTGCACTCGGGTGCCTCCAGGACCCGGAACGCCACGGAACAGTGATGATTCTCCAAAGGCGAGATATCGTTGTAACGCAGTGCTAGTTCAGTCCGCGCGTTTATCTGATAGATATTGTTGTAGCCCGGATGATCGAGATCGTGACAGATGCAGGAGACGATCAATATGAGAACCTCGAGGTCGCCGATTTTCGACGGAAGATCCACCGCCCTGGCTATCGCGTACATCTGGATACAATCAATTAACGCTGAATCGATGTGGCTCTTTTTCGATTTACAGCTAAAAAAATATTTTGCCATGCATGCGTATTTCGATCAATCATAAAAAGAAAAATTTCAAAATCATCAGAAATCATTATCAATATATTAATAAAAATATATGACTTATAATGCGACACGGGCACGCCAAGTCACCGCTGTTATGTGATAGCGGTAATAATTTTCCCAGATCAAATGCATCTTATGTTGTTGCATCTTTTCTAATGGCTGGAACCGTTAGGAACCTTCACTTGAGGATGTGGAGCGCATGATTGACGTAAGGTTGGTCCTCTACCTTGCGCACGGCTCCTATTAGCCCTCTACAATATTATTGTTATTTAACATTGTGAGCCTTCAGGATTATTATATAAATTAAAATATAAATGAACAGAGAGATCACTGACATTATTATATTTTTCATAATATTTATAGGAATTTACAAGTTTTATGTTAAAGTTGAAAAACTGCATCCTCTCTTCCAGCTCCTGTTCATTATTTCACAACTATAGAATTATAATTTAAATTTATTTTCGCTATTCATGTTTCATAAATTTCAAGCTATTCAACACATTGATCACTTTTGAAAATATATAAAAAACTTTTGTTATGTCCAGACTCGGGGAAAGATGAGTCGAAGGAGGGGCGCAACAACTATCTTTTATTATCCCGAAGTCAAACGCCTCGTGGCGTTTGGAATCGGGTCGAACGAACTGACAGGTCCGAAAAGCAGGTAAACGACTGAGTCGCTATTACACTGTTTTCGGAAGTTCGCTCGGCGGTCCCTTTTCGGTCAGAGAATTTAATCTCTTTTACACGGGATGGGACCAAGTGCGATCTTTGGACTAGGAATGAGTGTGGGTTAATAAAGAGTTATTTTGATTTTTCATTAACAAATATAGATTTATTCATTTTAAAATGAATGATAGGTATACATGATAATATAAAAAAATAAAAATAAAATATTCGTTTTCTTCTGAGTATGTATGAGTGTGTGTGTGTGTGTGTGTGTGTGTGTGTGTGTGTGTGCGTGTGTGTGTGTGTGTGTGTGTGTGTGTGTGTGTGTGTGTGTGTGTGTGTGTGTGTGTGTGTGTGTGTGTGTGTGTGTGTGTGTGTGTGTGTGTGTGTGTGTGTGTGTGTGTGTGTGTGTGTGTGTGTGTGTGGTTACATTAATACGGAGGACATCAGTCAGAATGCAAGAGAAAGATTTCATCGTTAATATTTAGGTTCTGACTGGTTAATACAATATGAAGATTTAATTAATAAAAAAAACAAACAAAACATGTGTGCGTGTGTGAGTGAGGTAGGAAGTAAGGATCATGGAGAGAGAATGAAAGGAGATTTAAATTTAGTTCAATTTAGTCTTGGTAGGACAAATCTGATTCTAAATCAGGTAGTTCTTCGCAGAACTCCTGAATGGCTTTTTCGAAATCGTCTGATTCCGAAAACTGCGGGGAAGAAGGGGGTGAATTATTCAAGAGGATTGTAGATAATAACGAGAATGATCTGGGGGAGGAAGGCGGTTCAGGAGAAAGAGGTTCGGGGGGATATACTGGAGAGTAGCTGGGAGAAAAATGGTAAGGGGAAAGGAGGGAAGTTGTAACTTTGATGGGTTGTGAGCTTGTGTGTAGTGAGTCAATCTTACTCCTAAATCTTTTTAATTTAACAATAAAATTCGCGAACGGTCGCGTCAACGCCTTCCGAGTCCTGCGATGGACTTGATTCATGGACCGATATATGTATATTTTCCCAGATCTGGTTCTCACTACGGAACCAGTGTAAATAAAAAGGTTTCAGTCACGTATACACATAATAATTGAATAGTTAAAGCTTACTTTTTGCTGTTAATTCGATAATGAAGAAGCGGTGATTTTTCCTCGGCTCTAGGTCTCGTGGTGCGTTCGGACCTTCGGTTGATGAATGCAAATGGTGGTGAGACGCCGCTAGAAGACACTGGTTTTCTCAACTAACTCGCGAGTCACAACACAGAACAAGAGTACTCGGATTGAGACTTACAGTAAAAAGAGATGTGGTACGTTTGCGAGTTCTCTTTTTATAATCTTCTTTTTGGGGCGTATTCTAATTCTAAGAGTGGGAATTTTCCAAAACTTCGACAAATTGAATTTGCACAGAAGTGGGGATTTTCCAATTTTGGCAAATTAAAAATGTGTCAGTGTCTTCGTTAGGCGGGGTGTTTCTCCTACTTTTCACGTTTTATCCGTGGTGATCGTCCATTGATGAGTTCGATATTCGTTCGAAGACTCCTTGCACGTGTTCAGATTAGAAAAAGGTCCTATTTTCCTATGATAATTTTTATTGCTATTGGTGCAGCTGTGTTTATTGAATATTTGTTGGAGAATTTTTATTATAATAGATGCAGCTGTGTTTGTTGGGTGTTTCGTTAGAAAATTTTATATTGTTATTGATGCAGCTGTGTTTGTTTGGTATTTCGTTAGAAAATTTTGTTAAATTTAGATTCTGACTGGGTGATACAATATAAAAATATATTTGATTAAAGGATAAAAACATAAAATCAAAATCAATATGTATAAGTAAATAAGTGTATATGTTAAGAACGGTCAGAAATATAAAATTGGTCGCTCGCATATGTGTTAGATTACGATCAGGATTTAAAATTTTCTAAGACTTATTACCGAAACGGGTTGATGATTTAAAAGAATGAAACATTCTTCGGAAAGTTTTGATTTAAATAAGAAACAAGACAAAAAGAAGGAAAAGAAAAATTATTCAATTAAACTTACTTTTTTCAATAGTAATTCAGAGGTGGAGAGGTGGGGAATTTTTGTACGGTGTTTTGCTCTGTGTCTCATGTCGGCAACCCGATGTTCGATTCGTGGTTGCTCTGGAGATGATGCCAAGCGAGGACACTGGTGGCACAAGTGCCTAACTCGCGAATTACGGTGCAAAAGCACAGAGTAAGACTGCGTGAAGCTGAAGACTGGAGAATAAGTGCTTAAGTCTGTTCGAGTCTTCTTTTTATATCTCTCTTTTCGGGGTGTATTCTAATTTCTAAGAGTGGGAATCTTCCAAAACTTTAGCAAATTAAAAATGTGCCAGTGTCTTCGTTAGGCGGGGTGTTCCTCCTACTTTTTGCGTTTTACTCGTAGTGATCGTCCATTGGTGAGTTCGATATTCGTTCGGAGATTTCTTGCACGTGTTCAGATTAGAAAAAAGATCCTATTCTTCTATGATAATTTTATTGCTATTGGTGCAACTGTGTTTATTGAATATTTGTTGGAAAATTTTATTATTATAGATGCAGCTGTGTTTGTTGGGTATTTCGTTAGAAAAATTTATATTACCTTGAGGAGACCGGCATATTTTTATCATCGATCTTTTACGTTGGTCTGTTTACTGAGCGATTCGTTTGTCTCACCAATCGACGATCATTGCCGACACTTCGCGGAAGGAAGGAATCGTGGAATCGCCAAGACGTAACACTTTATTTTGTTAAATTTTACATTATGTTTATGTAATTGGTTCATTTGTTCTGTGATTGATAATGGCTGCGTTTTGAATTCAATTAGATAAGTCGCGGTCGGTGTTAGATTGTGTAACTGAAATAGAAAGATTAAAATTTGAAGAATTGAAATCAAAATTAGAGTTGCGTTTCGGTGAAAGCTACTGTTACGTCCTGGCGACTCCACGATTCCTTCCTTCCGCGAAGTTGCGGCAATGATAATATAATAATAAAATTTTCCAACAAATATTCAATAAACACAGCTGCACCAATAGCAATAAAATTATCATAGAAGAATAGGATCTTTTTTTCTAATCTGAACACGTGCAAGAAATCTCCGAACGAATATCGAACTCACCAATGGACGATCACTACGAGTAAAACGTGAAAAGTAGGAGGAACACCCCGCCTAACGAAGACACTGGCACATTTTTAATTTGCTAAGATTGAAAAATTCCCACTTCTGCGCAAATTCAATTCGTCGAAGTTTTGGAAGATTCCCACTCTTAGAAATTAGAATACACCCCGAAAAGAGAGATATAAAAAGAGGACTCGAACTCACTTACGTACTTATTCTCCAGTCTTCAGCTTCACGCAGTCTTACTCTGTGCTTTTGCATCGTAATTCGCGAGTTAGGCACTTGTGCCACCAGTGTCCTCACTTGGCATTATCTCTAGAGCAACCACGAATCGAACATCGGATTGCCGACATGAGACACAGAGCGAAACACCGTACAAAAATTCGCCACCCCTCCACCTCTGAATTACTATTTAAAAAAGTAAGTTTAATTGAATAATTTTTCTTTTCCTCCTTTTTGTCTTGTTTCTTATTTAAATCAAAACTTTTCGAAGAATGTTTCATTCTTTTAAATCATCAACCCGTTTCGGTAATAAGTCTTAGAAAATTTTAAATCTTGATCTTAATCTAACACATATGCGAGCGATCAATTTTATATTTCTGACCGTTCTTAACATATACACTTATTTACTTATACATATTGATTTTGATTTTATGTTTTTATCCTTTAATCAAATATATTTATATACTGTATTAACCAGTCAGAACCTAAATGTCAACGACAGAATCTTTCCCTTGCATTCTGACTGATGTCCTCCGTATTAATGTAACACCCGCGAACTAAAACACACACATACATACGTACACTCACCGAGAAATTATTTTATTTTAATTTTTTATAATCATGTATATCCACTATTTACTTTAAAAATGAATAAATTTACATTTTGTTAATGTAAAAATCAAAATAACTCTTTATTAAACCCCCCACTCATTCCTCTAGTCGAAAGATCGCACTTGGTCCCATCCCGCGTAAAAGAGATTAAATTCTCTTACCAAAAAGGGACCACCGAACGAACGTCTGAATAACCAGCGTAACAGCGACTCAGTCGTTTACCTGCTTTTCAGACCAGTCAGTTCGTTCGACCCGATTCCAAACGCCAAGAGGCGTTTAATTTCGGGAAAATTAAAGATAGTTGTTGCGCCCTTCCGTCAACTCATCCTTCCTCGAGTCTGGACGTAACAATATGTTTATACGTAATGAACTAATATTTGTT